GAAAAATGCTCCCAGAAAAACGTGAATCAACGTCAGTATATCTTAACAAGAACAAATATTACAACAACAACCAATTATTACCACAGCAAGAAAAATCTAGCCACATGAGTTTTACCCCAAAACCAACTATCTTATCATGCATACATATGCTCCTTTATTATCCACATTTTGTTGATTAGTGTATCTTTTCACCATTTTGTATAATGCTGCATCCCTATCTTCTTTATCAGCAAAAGTTTACCCAATTCTCCATTTAGTCGCAAAAGTTTACCGAATTCATACTCGTTATGACCTACGAAACGGTTGCCTCGGCCAGCTTTTTCTGTTCTTTGCTAGCCAGGGATTCGTAGTCCTGAAATTATATTAAAAAACACGCCACATTTGGTCATTTTATTTCACACAAACAACATAATACATATCAGTCTTAAGTTAAGATTAGAAAGTAACAGTAAAAACTCACTCACCTTCACAATGGCCTGAGCACAAAGCTTTCCTGATAGGACAGCACCTTCCATGGACGCTAGGTATTTTTGCTTTGTGTAATCACCGGCTAAATAGAATCCCTCTATTGGGGATTTTTGTAGCGGACGACAAGGCTCCGTACCGGGTACAGTTTTATACACAGACCTGCAAAACACAACTTGATTTTTTTTTTTTTTCTGTTTTTTTTTCTGTGTTATTATTATTCATTTGCTGACCTAGGAGTTTTGACGATATGGTATTTCAGTATTTTGGCTTTGCTCTGATCAGCCGAGATCTCATCGGGAAATAGTTTGGCGAGTTCCTTCATGGTAGCTTCGATTATTTCTTCATTACTTCGCGAGATCCATTCCTCTGCCGGTGCAAAAACCAACTCCAACATCGACTGGTTCGGATTGTAATATTCCTGAATGACAAATTAAATGCGCAGATAAGTAGAGAACCCCCACAGAAATAATAATACTAATAAATTAAGAAAAAAAAAATATATACAACACACAGACACACATAAAAAGTGAATCTTGATCAACAGTGGCGTTGTAACAAAAAAGTACTGCGTATATTTTACCTTACAAGTTACCGACATGTCCGCGTATACACTGAGGAGTGGGCTTCTGCAAGAAAAAAATAGAGTGCAATAGCTATTTACCATATTTTATGCATGCTGTAAAACATTAAACATCTTGCTATTTAGCTCAATCATTAAAAGGTCATATAATTTGAAAAATGAACACACCTGCTGAAAAGTAAATGATCATATGTGTTCTTTAGCTTTCTGTCAAACCTGCAACGGGAAATCAGATATTGTCACGTACTTATCATGCACTCAAATAAGTAGATACAAAATATATCCTACGGCTAGAAGTTCGGTTAGTTACTTAAAACAGATATAGATGTTTTTTTTTTTTTTGGCAAATGATATAGATGTTTTTGAATGTTACATATAAATATCAAATAAGTTAGGAATAAACTCAAAGACTAACCAAATGTGAACATTTATAACTGGCACCCCAACCAATTTCTCCAATTTCTTGAAATACTGAATCTCTTTCCATTCGTCAGGCAAAAGCAGCTTTAGAATATCAACTACCAAAATAGTGATGAATAAATCAGTAAGTAATTACTAAATGAGAGGATACGCATTCTGCACAGAAGACTATAAAGGTTCACCTGGAGTAGCAAAGACATATGCATCTCCTTTGATCACATTTCCATCATTCAGTACAAAGCTTTTGACACTTTTGTCTTCATTTAGCTCGATTTTCTGTATCCTTGAGTCGAGTCTGACTTCGCCACCCCGAGTCTGAATATGATCGACGATTGGCATGCACAGTCTTTCTGGGGGATTGCCATCCAAGAAAGCCATCTTTGACCCATTCTTTTCCTGAAGATTCATTGATTAGCATAAAGTGCACTCACTTGCATTGAGATAGAGAAAGAGAGAGTACCTGAAGGAATCTGTTCAAAGCGATTAGAATGCATTGCATTGAAAGCTCATCCGGGTTTATAAAGTTCAGTGCTTTAGACATAGCAATAAATACTTCTTTGGTCACCCTGTCTGGTACACCCTGAAAAATGATGAGAACCACGAATTACAAATAATAAGACCGAGATCAGAAAATATGACTAGAAAAAAATGGAGTGTTGAAGAAAATAAATACATACCTGTTTTCTCATCCAGTCTTGAACTGTTATTCCATCTTGCGCCTCAACATAAGACTGGCCACCCAATATGGCTGGCAAGAGCCCGATTGCAAACTTGACTTTCTCCGGCCACGTAAGCATTTCATTGTTCTTCAAGATGGCCCATATTCCTGACAACACCATTTTATGTAAATAGCAGGTAACAAATGCAGTTTTAAACAAATACACCAAGATGTATATCAACTTCTACATAACCGAGAATGCACGAGATGATTCACTTTAATTTCCATTATTTTTCTTTTATTTTGTCCAGTATGTAATCTCCTGCTTAATGAGTTCCTCATTAATAAATAGCTCACCATTAATCGGGGCAGGTAAGACTTCCGGAAAATCAAACCGACTAAATTGTCCTGGTTTGTTTGGCATAGCAAAAATCATGGAATGCTCCTTCCATTGCAACCGATCATTAATGCCCAATTCTCGAAACAAGTTCTGAATATTTGGATAAGCCCCAACTACACCAAATCATGCATAAAGCACATATCTTTTTGAATATTGAACAAACCGTTTGTCGAACTAAAAAAGCGATTAAAAAGTCATTTATAAAACAAATATCATTTTTATAAGTCAAACTTACAAAATATATGCAACCCAGTCTCGTACCAGTCTCCTTCCTCATCTTTCCATGCCGCCACCTGGTCATAGAAAAAAGATTGAAATGTTTGACCAAAAGGAGAAGTTTTAAGAAAAAATGGATTAGTGAAGTGCATAACCAACCTTTCCACCCAAAACATCCCTTGCTTCCAACAATATAGGTTTATGGCCTGCATCTGCCAAATATTTTGCTGTTGACAAACCAGCCAAACCTACATGTATCCAATCACCTCAGAGAATTAGCTACGAAAAAATTAGTAAAACATGCTAGAAAACACATTGTCAGTTAATGTTTTTTCTCTTTTGAAAAATGCTATCTATCTCATCTGCGAGCAAGAATAACAAATTCCAACAAAGTTCCGACTTCACATCACATGACAGCAAAATTAGACAGCTAGAAATCCACTAAACGTATTCTTATTGAAACAAAAATGAAACAATGTGGAAAACCGAAGAAAAAGATGATCTAACCTGCACCAGCAATGACCACTTCCAATGGCTTTTCAGGACGAGGAGAAGAAAGAAAAGACGACGACAAGTAAGCAGCTTCCAAAAAGTTGACTGTGTTGTCAAGCTCCGGTCTTGGGTAATCAATGCAAACAACCTAGTCAATAAACAACATATACCTAGCATCAATTCAGTTTGTTCTTCATCCACTAATGCTTATCCTATAACCAATTTTAACAAACATTGGAGAGCAGACATACTTTCAAAACAGATGACTTCCTCTTAGATCTCGACAAAAAGGCATGTGCATCCGAAATTCTCAATTTATGACTGAAAGCGTCACTACCAGCGAACGAAAGTCTATGTCTTCTTGCAGAGGGTGGGCTCAAAATACTGGCTGTGTTATTTTGGTTGCTTAAGCTAACAGCAGACACATGTCCAAATTGGGCCATATCTCAATCTGATTTCAACAGGTGAACCAGCCTCTTTTTGCCACTGCAGAATTTCATTGCTTAGTGATCAGCTATTTCAAGAATATTATATCAGCACTGCCAGTAAATATAATCATAGATAGAAACTACCCCATACACCCAATTAAATCTCCAAACTTGACCTTTGGAAATTGATTACAGACTTAAAATATCAACTGAATCCGTATAAATCAAAAGAGCAGCGGCAAAATAGCAACTGTAAGAAATGGGGGGGGAAACGGGTGCGCGGTCCCACGCACATGAAGCGCACCATAAGCACGGAAACCCAAGAAGCTAACACACTTTCAATAAAAAAAACAACATTTTTTTTCCCAAAGAATCGACAGAAAGAACAAATCTCACAAAATCACAATTTCAAACTCAGGTCAAAAAAAGATGCTACCTTTGGGCAGATTAACTGAAACGATGGTCACCGGAACTTCAGAGTTCAGCAAGCCTTTCCCTGGAAAATTCAACAAGCGTTGAAATTTTGAGAGAGGAACAGTAATAAAATTCAGAGGGAGTTTTTTTTTTTTTTTTTTTTTT